TTATACTAAGTTTTCTTCATTGTTCCCCACTTTGAAGAAAACTTTCAAAAAGTTGATCTGCGTTTATGATTTCCCTTGTATGAAACACCATTTTGCATGTATGTTATTGTATGTCTTAAAAGTAACTGTAATGGTAAAAGTAAAATACTGCGGTTTCCCAAGTGGCTGCAGTAGGCAGCAGGCCATGAGACCACACCTCAGGTCCCTGAGTGGCAGCAGGCAGTGGGCAACGCATCTGGAGACCACTCTGCAGGTCCCGGAAGTAGTGGCAGGCAGCTGGCAGCGGGTCCCGAGAGCAGCCAGTCCTAGGCAGGGACGGTGCAGTTCCCCAAATGGCTGGCTACAGTGGGCCACGAGGTCAGCGAGTCCCTGGCAGGGAGCCACATGGTGGGTGAGAGACCAAGATGGATAGGCACGCCATGCAGAGTGAAGTTGGATTATGGAAGGGAAGAAAAGAAGGGGGAAGAGCAGAGAAGAGGCAGAGAGAGAGGAGAGAGAGAGAAAGAGAGAGAGAGAGAGAGAGACAGACAGACAGACAGACAGACAGACAGACAGACAGACAGACGAGAGGAAGGGGAGAAGGGAAAGACAGAAGTTGCTGAGAGTGGGTGGAAGGTAAGGGACTGAGGCTGGAAGCTGAAGATCAGTTTGCCTCAGCAGACAGGGTAGTGGGTGTGGCTTGTCTCTTAAAGGGACAGAGCAGACCACTACAGTAACCACAGTAAACACTAATATCAATGTCATAATATCCATCAGTTGCTGAACATTTATTATGATTATGTCTTGGTTGGTTTGCACCTACTATCTCATGTAAATGTTGTGCCAGATTGCAGAGTCCCCTAAAGACCACCAAGGAGTCTGAATCCTTATGCAAAAGCAAAGAGACTTTATTCAAGCTCGAGCTTGGACCCTCTTTGTGTCCTAAGCCGTGATACCAGATTGGAGAGTTTTTATCATAGCAGAGGTTGGGGTAAGGTTCAGGACCCCTGATTAATTGACATTTGTCTAGGGATAAAGGTGTCTCTTGGCGGAAGGGGGTAGGTGTGTACTGGGTTAAAGGATGTCTAGTGATCCTGTTTATAATGGTTGGAATATTAGGTATTTCCTTTGGAAGTTAGGTATTTTCCCCTTGGGTGGTGATTGGCACATCCCTGGGTGTTGCCTGGGTGGTCTTTGTGGTCTTTTCCTGGAGCCAGGTATTTCCTTAAGGTAAACTGAAATTTATGCCTACTCTTTGGCTTCTATTTAGCCTGTCATGGCAGCGGTATAGCCAAGCTGCCCTGAGCCCCACAGTAAACAGTTCTCAGCAGTGTATCATTTCCTCATTGCCAAACTGGGGAAATGATTTCAGGGATTAGGAGGGTAGTGTCATCTGCAGTCAAGAACAAGCTGGTACTAGGACTGGAATTTGAACCTACACAGACAGTACTATAACAAACTCATAGTTTGTTCACAGTTTAAAAGTGTCAGATTCAGATATAAATGTAGTTAATACAGTCTAGCACCTCTGACATGCTGCATGATTACTAAAGAGTCAGGAAATACTGCACCAGGCAGTAGTGGTGGCCCATGCCTTTAATCACAGCCCTTGGGAGGCAGAGGCAGGTGGATCTCTGAGTTCGAGGCCAGCCCGATCTGCAGAGAGAGTTCCAGGACAGTACATAGAGAAACCCTGCCTCGAAAAAACAAATAAAGATTCAGAAAGTAGCTTTCTAGACTCAAAATATAGCCCATCTAGCCCAGAGGGTTGTCTGGATCAAAGAGAATTTGGGGTAAAATGATATATGATAATTCTCAAACTGAAAGAATGAATATTTTTCCAAAATTAGATTAACTACAAAATTTCCTACAATTAATTATTCATATGCATATTGAAAAGTACATTTAAAGATAAAGTAAGAGTCATAAGTTAAGAAGTTTGCATACCGAGGACGGATCACAAATCCAAGTCTGTTGTCAAGTCCTAAGTATGGGTTTTATATGAGATGCCTGAGCTTCTACTGTTCCTTTCTTAATAATTTTTTGAAAGCTTAGAGTTTTATTCAAAATAAAAGTTTAGTTTGTCAAAGTTGCATTTTCATGGAGAGAGCATCTGGTCATAGTTCAGATGGCAGTGAGTATTACTGCCGCTATGGATAATATGCACATTAATCCAAGCCAGTATCTTAGTGAACCACAACTTGTGGTTCAGCTCTTTTTCTTTTATTCCTTATTGCTGTTTCTAATAAAGCAAGATGTTAAAGCTAACTGCATGCTCTATTAATTATATGAAGGTGAACTTGAGTCATCTTTGTTACTGAAGATGATTAATAATTACTAGTTCTGCACATGTTTCTAGTGCATTTCAGTAAATAAACAGGGTACATTGTTGGGTAGTAATTGATTAATTAGCACATTCATCCTACACAGCTCAGTGGTCCAAGGATGCTGAGTTTGAGATATTGTTCATAATTATTACAGGAAACAAATCTGCTCCATTTCTCAGTTTATTCTTCTGCACACTACTTTTTGTTCTAAATCGAATGCTTAATGGCTCAAAACCTTATAGGTTTATTCAGATAAATCAACTCATGAAAACTTGTAAGTCATAATCTCAAAATCTTGTTTTTATGTGAACTAGGGTGAAAACCTTTATAAGACTAATTTTAACATTTAATCTTACTGTTAAACTGGATCAAATACTGTAAATATAGGGCACTTCCCTGCCATGCAAGAAATGCTCCTTACGCACCTATGCACAACAGGGGTACCGGAATCTCATTTGCTTCCCAACTACATCAAATAAGCTGAAGATTGCAAGTGTCATCAAGTTGGCACTTTGCAGAACCAGTCATATATACCGTGGAATCTTCAGAAAAGTGTAGCATTGTGTATCAGTTGCTATTTTAACTCTGTGTCATTTAGGAATTTTTTCCTTCTAATTACTGAGCCAGCATATAATTGAGAGATAGTGTAGTTAAGAGCTTTGGACAGGGGCTCAGGAGTTTCTCAGGTTTCTATCTCTGTATTCTCTCTCTGTGTCCTAAGGTTGGGCCCAGGACATCATATTTATTAGTCAAGGACTCTACGTCTTAAGGAAATTATGAACTCATCATTACCCCCTGTTTAAGCATGAATCATTTATCTGTAAAATGAAGGTGCACTGAAAAGCCCAGGCTTCAGATACAAAGACCCCAGCTTTCCATCTAGACACCATATTTCTAGTTTTACTCTTTAGGGCAGCACATATTTAAACTCTTTAAATTTGTGGTTTCTTGAGTTTATTGTAAGACTCAAATAAGATGTGAAAATACTTTGGAAGCATATAAATATTAGGCATTTCTCATATTGTTTAGTAACTTTTTTAGTTAACACTGACATGGTGCAGTAAATACGTGTGCTCTGGAATGGCAACAAGAGCTTTAAAAACACTCATTGTACTGTTACTAAAACCTTATTAGGTAAGAATTTCTGATGTGACTTCACAATTAGTTTTTAAAAATATGTGTATCTGCATATGTGTGCATACATATGAGAGTGGGTGTCCAAGGAAGCCAGAAGAGGGCATTATATCCCCTGGAACTGTAGTTAGAGGCCATTGTAGGCTGCCTAGTGTGGGTACTTGGAACTGAACTCAGGTCCTCTGCAAGAGTAGCATACATCTTATCCACTGATTTTTTTGTTTAGCTCTGACTTTATAATTTATTCCTAAAGGAAAGTGTCTGAAAAACAGCATGTCAGGTATGATCCTATTTAAAACATTTTATACATGAAGAATAAATCATTATATAGAAACTCCACATATTTTATGAAAGTACAAATGTGCTATGTATTAATTAAGTATCCTATTAATAAGTAATGTTCTAGAAGATGTATATGTATATACATGTTTGTATATATACATATATTCAAGCTTACAATCTGTTGGGTGAGATAGACAGTTAAAAACAAGTCTATTTTATAATATATAATATGACATGTGATTATCACATACCCTGTAGAAAAAGAAAGCATGGTAAAGAAACACAGTAGTATTAGTACTATGTTAGGGAGGTGGCTACCTGATCTGGTGAAAGCTGAATGGAGATTTGAATGCTGCAAGGTAGTGACTGGTTACTAAGGAGTGGAATGCAGTGTAGAGGCCCTAGGCCCTGAGAATAGACAGTTTAGAATTTTGACAGTAGTTATTAAAATTTTTATGATTTTCTATTTTTTTAGGTTTTGAAGAAGCCATGTGACACTCTCTGTGTTTTTAAATAATATATACAGACTTTTGTAACTAGAAAAAAATTAAAACTCTGTGAAGTAATCTTAAGAAAAGTGTTCCTAAGTAGGTTTAAAAGTCAATACTGTTTTGGCTTCCTGGGTTTAATGTCAAGACTCTCTGAACAGTACAGGAGACATTTATAAAGGGCAATTTCTGTCTTGTCAGTGAGGTTAAGAAAGAGTTTTAGAGGGATTGGAGAGATGGCTCAGCGGTTAAAAGCATTGCTCTTCCAAAGGTCCTGAGTTCAATTCCCAGCAACCACATGGTGGCTCACAACCATCTCTAATGAGGTCTGGTGCCCTCTTCTGGCCTGCAGGTGTACATAGAGACAGAATATTGTATACATAATAAATAAATAAATATTTTTAAAAAAAGGAAAAAAAAAGAAAGAGTTTTAGAGCCAGGCATGATAGTGCATGTTTTTAATCCCAGTACTCCAGAGGCAGAGGCAAGTATATCTCTGTGGGTTCAAAGCCAGCCTAGTCTGCAAAGCAAGTTCCAGACTAGCCAGGGCTACACAGAGAAAAAAAAAAGGAAGTGTTTTAGGTATAAATTTGTATCATGACAGATCAGGGTGGTCCTCACAGACTGATAGAGAATTGTCTTCCTCCCAGCTCCTTCCTCGGGCTTTGGTCCATGGATGTCAGAACAGGTCCTTGTGCCTGCTTATAGAAGATGCGGCCCAGGATACACAGGGACATAGTTGGATGTTATTAGAAGATGGGAGTAGAATGTCAGGCAGAACTAGTTTTACCACCATTGTTACACATCGTGTAGATGTAGTCATTAGGGACTAGGTCAACTACATAGCAAAGTAGAATGTTACCAAATATATCATCTCCTTTTTGATACTGGTCAGAGCTGGCACTTAAGCTCTTCACTCTGTAACTAAAAAGCAGAGATAAAAGGAAGGTATGCTCTGATTTGTACTGGAACAAAAATGCCAAATATTTTTATTCTAATTTCTAGTCCATATGACTATACCAAGATATAAGTAAAGGGTGTACATATTATGTCAGTTCAGGAAAAAATTACTTAGAAATAAAATGTTTCCATTACTTTAGTTGATTAACAATAACTAAAAGTACAGTATATAGAGTGACCATTCCCCAAATAAAGATGTCATCCAATATAGGATTGTATTTAGCTTCTTGTTGAGTGTTGTGTTTGACTTCAGTCAAAAGAACACCTTCTGTGGTTGGGGAGATACCTCAGTTGGTGAAGGGGTTTTCTTGCTAGCATGAAGAAAGACCTGACTTTGACTTCCAGAATCCATGTTTAAAAATAAGTAAATAAAAGGGGTGGGGCTGCACACTTGCAATCCCAGAACTGGGAAGGCAGACACAGGAGAGTTCCTAGGCTCCCTGAATAACCAGTGATGAGTCCCAGGCCATTGAAAGACCTGTCTCTTAGAGAGAGAGAGAGAGAGAGAGAGAGAGAGACAGACAGACAGACAGACAGACAGACAGACAGACAGTACATCTAAGGAACAGCAGCCAGTGTTATCCTTTTACTTACACACACACACAGAGACAGACAGAGAGAGAGAGAGAGAGAGAGAGAGAGAGAGAGAACGAGAGCTTCCATCAGAAAAATGTTTGCATTGTAATTTCAAGACCAATACAAAAATTTAACCATTTGAGAATCACAGTCTTTTGGGTAATAGATGGAGAAAATTAAGAGGCATACAGTTACAAAAATCGTCTTAAAATATTTTTATCCATTGTTTCTAATAAATGAAAGAACAAGCTAGAAGAAGAAAACCCTTCTTCTGTGACAGGCATAATTTTGCCTTTCTGATATTTTGATGATGGGAGCATAGTGTTATAAAATTCTAGAGCTGGAAGAAAACCAATATCAGTTACATTTCCTATTTTATATACTAGGAAACTGATAATCAGAGAGAAGTTATTGTCCACTAATAAAAACAGATGGAACTTAAAACATACTAAGACATTTAAATCTAAAGCAGATGCCATATATATTCCATGCTTTTTACAATGTCTATGAATATCTGTAAATGGATGTTTCCTGTCCTGACTGCCCAGTCCCAAATAACTGACTCAGAGGCTGATTATGAATCATAAATGTTCAGCTGATAGGTCAGGTTTGTTACTAGCTAACTCTTACATTTAAATTAACTTATTTCTATTAATCTATGTATTGCCACGTGGCTTGTGGCTTTACTTGTCCTATAGTATGTCTGGCTTGCTGTGATAGGTCAACTGGCGACTCTCTTTAACCCTGCCTTCCTTTTCCTCATCATTCTTAGTTTGACTTTCCAACCTAACTTCCTGCCCAGCTACCAACCTGTCAGTCTTTTATTAACCAATGAGAGTAATACATATTCACAGTGTAGAAAAGGATTGTTTCATAGCAGATACCACACCAACATTATCGTATGCTTTGAAATACTTGGAAGTGAGTGGGGTCATTTGTCCATTAATGCAGTCTCTATTTGCTTGGGTAGGTATGGCATAAAAATGGTATGGCATGAATTCTAAAAGTAAATAAGAATGGTAAACTTGGAATGAAAACAGTGTCCAGAGTGCTAAGGAACATGTCATTACTCTCTGGTCGCATCCTTAGCTGCTTGGATGATGGTGATAGCATTCTCAGGTTGCCACACATAGCTCATTATCACTTGGGATAATACACCTTGTGTGTGTATGTATGTATATACATACATACATACATACATACACACACTCATACATATTTCTGTGCAAATTGGATTGTTTCGTTTTTCCAATTAATGTCACACAAGTTCAATATGGAACAGAAAAAAATCCCATCATTAAGTAACCACTTTGTAGTTGTTCTTATCATCTCAGTGTGTGTACATTGTACATACTATGTACATATTTTAAAGTCAAAATTTGTTACAATTTTCTTTAGATTAAAAAATCAGTTATGTGGATGTGTGTCTGCATGAGGGTTGTCACACAGGCTAGAAGAGGGCATTGAATTCTCTGGATTTAGAGTTACAGATACTTGTGGGCTATCTGAAGTGAGTGCTGGGAACCAAACTCAGGTTCTCTAGAAGTTCAGCAAGGCCCCTTAACTGCTGAGCCGTCTCCTAGCTTCCTGTATTGGCAATCTTCACGCTGTTTTAAAATGTTTCCTTAAACTGCGTGCTTGTAATCCCAGTGAGAGGTAAGACGATTGTGAGTTTGAAATCCCGAACTGTATAGCTAAACTGGGGGGGGGGGGGGCGGGGGTAGAGAGAGACTGATAGAAATTATTAATAATGAGTGACTATTTCTTCAAACGTATTCTCCCCATTGCAACAAAACAGCGTTATGAGATATTGACTTTCAAACCCTAAACACACTGACAAACATTCCCTTCTTGAACTCCTGCCAGGTGTCCCTGTGCCTTTTCTCACTTAGGCCCATGTTGTCTCAAACACTAACATGATTTGTAAGCCTCAGGCTTCATCCCATAGATCCCAGCTTCTTAATCTTTGAGTTGCAACCTCAGCTAGAGTTGCATTACTGAATGTAGTGGTAGCAAATCCTAAACATTAATTCAGAATCTGCATGGGATGACCTTGGCTTCTGGCAGTTCTTGCCCATTGCATCTCACAACTTCACTCCACTTTGATTCTGAGCACAAGACAACTGTCAAGCCTTGCTGTTGCCAGTCAATGTAGCCTAGAGTATCTCAGCTCAGCAACATTATTATATGTAGCATTTTTACTTTGCATGCAAAGTTTTCTGGTCTTACTGAAATATAAGAGTTTAATTTCAGAAAACAAAAACTTTTAATATTTTGTTATTATCTATCAAAACATAAGTATCAAATTAATCTCTATATTTAATTGTACTAGAGTATTTGATTTTTAAAAATATTGTTTGAAATAAAAAAAGTTTGAGTTGCTGACTTAAGTTTCTTTCTTTTTTTTTTATTTTTTGGTTTTTTGAGACAGGGTGTCTCTGTAGTTTTGGAGCCTGTCCTGGAACTAGTTCTTGTAGACCAGGCTGGCCTTTAACTCACAGAGATCTGCCTGCCTCTGCCTCCCAAATGCTGGGATTAAAGGTGTGCGCCACCACCACCTGGCGTGACTTAAGTTTCATAAAAAAAATCATCAATAAATTTTGGCTTGGCATTAGGATTTAAAATTTCCAACAATTTCTGAGATGGTCCTAAACATACTTATGCCATTCTGTACTACATATTTATGCAAAGTAACATTCTCAGTACTAATGTAGAAGTATTTGTCTACTCTGAAAATATTGAAGATGTATGTTTTGTAGTGCCAAATGTTAAGCTGATTCAATTTTTTATGTAAAAATATGCAAGCATATCCATCTCATTAGTGGAAATTTGCTTTCATCTTTAATAAATGACAAAATTATATGCATATAAATTTATGATTTGTTATCAGTAAATGCTTTATTGGCATGCCTGCTTTATACAACTGTATGCCCAGAGCTGTGTAAAATTCCATGGGTGAAAGGTATCAATGGTGGAGTGTGTTTAAGAAGCCCTGCCCTATGTAATACTACCCCTGTTTAAAGTGCCTGCTGGAGAAAACTCAAGTTTGCTAGAAGAATTTACTTTTTACTCTGTGGAGGGGAGGAGCCTACATTCATAAGTGAGTTTCACGTGAACCAGCCCCCTCCTTCTTCTTGTTATTTTTTACCTGTCTTAACTCTACCAAGCAGCTCTCTGTTCCCTATTTTCTCCCCATAATGCCCAGTTAACTCTTTATAAGTCAAAGCTGATTTCAGTTCACACTGGACTCTTACCCCTTATAGCTATAGCTAGTCCAATCCTGATTAAATAGACACTTACCCACTTTAGCCAGTATGTGGTCTTGTTTATATTTAAAGTATATAGTTTGATGTTTCCATGTGTGCTTGCATTCAAAAACCACTTGCATTTCAACACAGTGAATAGTCTATCATCCCCAGAATTTCTCTGTTTGCCCCTTTATCACACTCCTGCTTCCTCTCACCTAGTTCAACCAGGCAAACATTTTCTACAGTTTATCATTCCTAGAATGCTAAATAAATATATACTTTTTTGTCTGAAGTTCTTCATTCTGTATAACTAGAGACTCTTTTATGTAATTGAATTTATCAGTACTTCACTCTTTTTCGTTGCTGAACAGAATCCAATTGTTCTATATCATTCAGTGTTTTTTCACCTGTTTGGCAGTTCAGGGACAATGGGTTGTTTTCAGTTTTTATTTGGAAGTTCCTATAGACTTTTATTATAAGTACTTCTATGAGCAAGAGTTTTTTTTTTCCTCTTGGATAAATACCTACAAGTAGAATGACTACAATATGTGGTAGGGATAGTAACATATGATTTCTAATGGTTACATGGAGGTCCTTTTTGGAAAATAACCCATAAAAAGCTTGTTGAACATTTGCATCATTCTGGTTTTTCACTGCTATTGCAAATGATTGGGGTTTTTTGTTATTTCTCTCATTCCTTCCTTCTTCCCTTCTCCTCTTTCTTTCTATGTATGTATGTATGGTGGCACACACACACACACACACACACACCAGAGTTGTATGCGCACATAATGGTAATTGTAGAGATGAAGCAAAATGTTATAGAGTGGCAAAGAATGCTTTGGAGAAAATCAATTATCCAAAACCAAAATATAAAACCAAGGGTTGGGAAGATGGCTTAGTCAACAAACTACTTAACTTGAAAGCATGAAGACCCAGAGCCCATGTTTTTTTGTTTTGGGTTTTTGTTTGTTTGTTTGTTTTGTTCTTGTCATGGCTGTTGTTATTTTTAAAGCCAGTCATGGTGGTGTACACTTGTAATCCTAGTGCTGGGGAGACTGAGACAGATGGTTATCTGCTGCTTACTGGCCAACTAGCAAGCCTACCCTACCTGGGAAATTCTAGGCTGGTGAGAGAATCTACCTTAAAAAGAAAGATAGACAGAACCTGAGCAACAGTACTCAGGGTTGTTCTCTGGCATTTACATTTGTATGCATACATGTGCACATGCATTCAACACAAATGTGCCTTCTCACACATACAAACACAAACAAAAAATTAAAACAAAACCTCCCAAGTCTACTTTATGCATTTGTATCAAAGCTATATTTTCCTGTGCTATATTTAGGTTGTTTTTACCAACAGATTTTTAAACAGCAGGGACATGCTTGTTATTTACTGTTTTGGTGTATTTCCCTCATTTACATAAATACCCCAGAAACCAGCAGTTTAAAACTAATAAAAGCCAAGGCCTTCCATCAAGTGCAATAAAGTTTCACAACCATGAGTTAGATTGTTAGAGTGAAAAATAAACCTATATATGTAGTTATGAAGTTTTTTTTCCTGGAAAGTGTATAATCACATTTCAAAGTTAGAGCTTCCATTTGAAGTAGCAAGCTAATAATAATGCTTAAACATTTATGTAGAATGTTTCATCTTTGAAATACTCTCCCAACATTGGCCATTTAATCTCTGTGACTTCCCTAAGGAGCAGGTATTACCATATGCCATTTATTTAGATAGAAAACTATGGAAGATACGACCAGACTTAAAGAGTCAGAGGGCTGAAGCAAAAAGTCCCTGGTCCTTTAGTCTGTGTTTCTTTGGGATATAGCTCCAGTAGCTCCAAGAGAATACATCGGGTTTCAAACAGTGATATAAATTATAGCTCAGTTTACTAACTCAGGCTTTTCCATACAGTGCTGACTGATCTGTGGCCTAGACCGTAAAAGGAATGTTGTCTCGGTCCGTTCTGTTTTACTATAACAAAATATCTGAGGATCGATTCTTTATAACAACAAAATACTTATTCATTAATTATCTGATGACTAGAAACTCCAAATAACATAGTGCCAGCATCTGACTAGGAGTCCTTTGGTTGTATGACAGAATGGGAAAGGGAAACAAAGAGCTGTCTGCAAAAGTTGAGCATGCGTGGTAGCCTTGTTTTACAATTGGCTCTTGTGAAACATTAAGTCCATCCTTGGAGAACTACATTAACTTCTTCCATGGATGATGCCCTATGCCCTAACTGTCTTTCTTTCATCAGATCCTGATCTTCCAGCTCTCAATTTTGTTACACCTGGAGACTAAGCTATGAGCACACATACCTTTGGGGGCACACTGAAACCATATAACAAAAGAGAAAGGATCCACATCACACTCCATTTGCACTTGCAGTGAATTGAGCCAAACATTTTCTAGTGTGAAAAGTAAAGGCAGGCTATGGCCATCCCATCCTGAAAATACAAGTCTTGTCTGATCTTGGAATTTAAGCGGGGTCTAGCCTGGTTAGTACTTGGAAAGGAAAATAGCAAAAGCAAATGCTTCCTCCCTTCCTAGCTTCCATCCTCATGTGATCTTGCCTTCTTACAGTTTTCCAAATAAGACTATGATTAGTGCATTTGAGGAATCGAACAAATGAGCTCTGCACATTAAAGCTAGAGGAACAGTAAAATAAAACTAATGAACATTTATAGTTTTGAAAATATAATTAATGTATGCTTGAGAAATTTTGAAAGATAAACATTTAAATGTTAAGATACTTATTACTTTCCCCACAGGGACAATGTGGGGGAATTAATGAGATAACAAATGCAGAGTGCTTTGAGCTCTTTAGAAGAAAGGTGCCAGATGAAAACAAATGGTTATTAATTGTTAAAACTATCAG